GGGTTCGAGCCCCACATCGGGCTCTGTGCTGACAGCTAGCTCAGAGCCTGGAGCCTGTTTCAGATTCTGTGTCTCCCTCTCTCTCTGATCCTCCCCTGCTCATGCTGTCTCTATCTCTCTCTCAAAAATAAATAAAATATTTTTAAAAAAAAGAAAAAAACAAACTATTGAAACACGAAAAAAATTGAATTGTTCTCAAAGAAATTGTGCTGAATATAAAAAGCCATTCTCAGAAGCCACATGCTACATGGTTCCATTTATATAACATTCTCAAAATGACAAAGCTGTAGATATGGAGAACCAATTACTGGTTGACAGAGGACAGGGACAGGAGTTGGGGGATGAGTATAAAAGGATAGCATGAGATGGCAAAGGACACAATCCATAAAACTAACAGCCAGCTGACGGAATGGGGAAAGATAGTTGCAAATGACATATCAGATAAAGGGCTAGTATCCAAAATCTATACGGAACTCACCAAACTCCACACCCGAAAAACAATCCAGTGAAAAAATGGGCAGAAGACATGAACAGACACTTCTCCAAAGAGGACATCCAGATGGCCAACAGACACATGAAACGATGCTCAGCGTCCCTCCTCATCAGGGAAATACAAATCAAAACCACACTGTGATACCACCTCACACTGGTCAGAGTGGCTAAAATGAGCAGATCAGAGGACTCTAGATGCTGGTGAGGATGTGGAGAAATGGGCACCCTCCTACACTATTGATGGGAATGTAAACTGGTGCAGCCCCTCTGGAAAACTGTGTGGAGGTTCCTCAAAAAATTAACACTAGAACTCCCCTAGGACCCAGCAATAGCACTGCTAGGAATTTACCCAAGGGATACAGGAGTGCTGATGCATAGGGGCACATGGACCCCAATGTTCATAGCAGCACTCTCCACAATAGCTAAAACATGGAAAGAGCCTAAGTGTCCATCAACAGATGAATGGATCAAGAAGATGTGGTTTATCTATACCATGGAATACTACATGGCAATGAGAAATAATGAAATCTGGCCATGTGTAGCAACATGGATGGATCTTTAGGGTGTTATGCTGAGCTAAATAAGTCAGGCAGAGAAGGACAAATATCATATGTTTGCACGTATAGGAGGATTAGGAGGAACTTAACGGAGGACTGTGGGGAAGAAGAAGGGGGGAAATAGTGGGGGAGAGGGAGGAAGGCAAACTATGAGAGACTCTTGAGTGCTGAAAACAAACTGAGGGCTGATGGGGGTGGGAGGGAGGGGAAGGGGCGTGACGGGCACGGAGGAGGGCACTTGTGGGGATGAGCACTGGGTGTTATATGGAAACCAACCTGACAATAAACTATTAAAAAAAAGGATAGCATGAGGACGTTCCTTTGTGGTGATGAAACTTCTATATCTGTATTGTGATGGCAACATAAACTATACTTGGGATAAAATTTCATAGAACTACACACCTACAGATGAATGCATGTAAAAAGTGGTGAAAACTAAATAATATCTGTAGTCTAATTAACAGTATTATAACAATGTCAGTTTCCTAGTTTTTATGTTGTTCTACAATTATATAAGAAAGCACTGGAAAAAGGTGGATGAAGAGTAACAGGGCTAGGTACTATTTTGAAAATTTTTGTAAGTCTGTAATTATTTCAGTACAAACTTATTAAGGGTAAGTACATATATTGGATATAGCCCAGACGGCTCTACCAATTTGTATATACGATATGTATATATACATTATGTTTGTGTGTATATGTTGTATACATGGTATATATGTTTATATATATGGTGTGGGTGTATATATGTATTTTGGTATATGTGCATATATGTGCCTATGATATATATGTGTGTATATATGATTTTATATATATGTATATATATAAATGACGTGTGTGTGTGTATATGGTGTGTGTGTATATGTATTTTGGCATATGTGCATATATGTACCTTTGATGTGTGTGTGTGTGTGTGTGTCCAGAAACTTCACAGACTGTTCAGCACAGCTTTGCTAACATAGTATGTTGTCATAGTTTTTAATCTTTTCTAATCTATTAGGTAACAAGTGATGTTTCAATGTTCTAATTTGCTTTTCTTCTACCTTAAATGAGTTTAAAAATTTTCTTTTCATGTATTTGAGGGCTGTTTTACACTTTTTGTTGTGAATTGTCTGCTGATGTTCATTTTTCTATTGGATTCTGGGTCTTTGTTCCTTAATTTTTTTTCTAGTTTGCCAGTTGTCTTTTAAATTTGTTTATGATGTTTCTTTACCATGCAAAAACTTTTATTTTTATTTAGCCTATATTATCAGTCTTTTTTTTATTGCCTCAGTTTTGAGCCATAGTTATTTTTTATTGCATCTGAATTTTGAGTCCTGATTTCCCTCCACCAAGGTTTTGGAGACATTCACCCATGTTTCCTCTTGTTATTTATATGGTTTCATTTCTATAGTTAAGTTTTTAATCTATTGGAGTTTATTCTTATGTATGGTGTAAGGTGGAGATCTAAGCTTTTTCCAGTGATTGTCCCAGTTTTCCCAGAACCGTGTATTTAATTTGAGTGATTTCAGATGCTATCTTTATCATATACTAAATCTCATATGTGTTTGGGTTTGTGTCTGGACTTTGTATTCTATTCTACCGGACTATTTGTTTATTCCTGCACCACAATATTTTAAGTATAGAGGGTTTAGTAATATGTTTTAACATTTTGTGGGGAAAATCACCTGTGAAGTTTTTCTTTTCAATGTCTTTCTTCCTCTTCTTACATATATGTTTTATTGCCTATAAGTAATTTGTCTTACCTAACTGCTCTGGCTCATACCTCTAGTACAATATTAAATAGTAATGGATATAGCAGACGTCTTTTCATTGTTCCTGATCTTAGTGGAAATATCGCTAGAATTTTCTCATTAAGTACAATAATAGCTTTAGGACCAAGATATATATATTTAATCACTCTAACAAAATATCTCTCAGTTTCTGTATTCAGAAATGAATTGATGTTGAATTTTATCAGTCTTTTTTAATATCTATGGAAATAATCATGATTTTTCCCTTATATTTATTAATACAGTATATGATATTGATGGATTTTCTAATACTGAAGTTACCTTACATTTGAGAAATAAATACCACTCTGTCATGGTGTATCATTTTCTTAAGGTGGTCTTGGATTCTGTTTGTCAATATTTTTTAATTTTGTGGTACAATACACATAACATAAAATTTACCATCTTAACCATTTTTAAGTACAGTTCAGTAGTATTAAATATATTTCACATTTTTTGTGCGACCCCCACAGCCATCATGCCTATAACTCGCAATTTGTAAAACTGATCTCCTTGTTTATATTTAGCTTTCGGGGCGCCTGGGTGGCTTAGCCGGTTGAGCATCCGACTTTCGCTTGGGTCATGATCTCACGGTTCGTGGGTTCGAGCCCCGCGTCGGGCTCTGTGCTGACTGCCAGCTCGGAGCCTGGAGCCTATTTCAGAGTCTGTGTCTCCCTCTCTCTGACCCTCCCCTGCTCACGCTGTCTCTCTCTCTCTCTCCTAGAAATAAATAAAAACATTAAAAAATTAAAAAAAAATATTTAGCTTTCTTCATCACCACTGTAAGTAATATTCTGTACTTTTCTTTCTTCAAGCCTTTATCTAGTTTAAGTATCAATGTTGTTTATATTTGATTCATGAAAGGAATTAGGAATTCCATTTTAATGCTTATAGATCATTATAAGCTCATATATAGAGCTTTGGGACTAATTACCAAAACTGACCCCATAATTTGCTGTTATACAATACTCTTAGTTTAATGGCACCCTCTTCTTCCCTTTGTCTTCTTTTTCTCTTTCCAGTTGCCAAAGGATGTTTTTCTTTCATTTTTGTCTTTTTTTTGTCTTTCCCAGTGCCGTGTATTTTTAAATTGTGGAGGGTTTTTTCCATTTTTTAAAGTTCATATGCTTATTTTGAGAGAGAGAACACAAGTGGGGTATGGGCAGAGAGAGATTGGGAGTGAGAATACCAAGCAGGTTCCACACTGTCAGGACAGAGCCCAACTCAGCTCAAACTCACAAACCGTGAGATCATGGCCTGAGCAGAGATCAAGAATCGGACACCTGACTGAGCTACCCAGGCACCTCTAGATTGTGTTCCTCAAATCACACAAACTTAGAAGTTCCTTCTGTGTGGTTTGGGTTATAATCTATCCAGGTTTTGTTTTTGTTTTTGTTTTGTTCTATCGGTTTTTTTTTTTATAAATCGTTTTCAAACTTAGTATGGACTTAGTCTGTAGTGGTATTTTTAAAAATCAGTATTAGGTTCCGGGGCGCCTGGGTGGCTTAGTCGGTTAAGCGTCCAACTTTCGCTTAGGTCATGATCTCGCGGTTCGTGGGTTCGAGCCCCGCGTCGGGCTCTGTGCTGACAGCTCAGAGCCTGGAGCCTGTTTCAGATTCTGTGTCTCCCTCTCTCTCTGACCCTCCCCTGCTCACGCTGTCTCTCTCTCTCCTAGAAATAAATAAAAATATTTAAAAAAATAAAATAAAATAAAATAAAAATCAGTATTAGGTTCCAACTGTTCAGTTTTCCCCCATGGATTTTCTTCACATTGTTTTTCTTCTGGTCTATTTCTCCTTATCACAAATCCTTGTGGATCAGCAAGGGTGAAGTGGGAGCAGGAGAGACCAAGTGCTGGTTTTAATGGTTTTTCTCTCTTTTTATTCACAATTATTTTGAAGCTTTGGCATTCTCTGTTCTTAAAGTTACCTTAAAAGCTGAAGGTATGGTTTCATGTGGAATTGCCTTTTTCATTCTTGTTGCCTATGGTTTGAGGAAGAAATAGTATGAGGTACGTATCTATGCATTTGCTGTTTTCTTCAGCTCCAAAGAATTTTTATAGTATGTTACTACATTCCTTTTTTTCCACTCTCTTAGGTATAAACTATAGAACAAGTGACTTAGGGACAATAGTGACTTTTGGGGGGTGAACATAATTAATGCTTTTCTATTGTTAAAGGTTACGGATAAGGCAATTTAAAAAGAACTGGAAATGTGATTTAGATTCAGCATTGAATGAAATACAGGTATGACGTTTATTTTTTAAAATAAATAGCTGTGATCTCTGAAAACCAGTAATAACAAAGAAACGTTGAATAGTAAAAGCTGTAGGAAAAGTTTTAAAATATGACTGTTATGCAGAGAAAATGCTGAAGGAAAAGAAGTTTAATTTTTTAATACTTTGAAATGCAAATGCAATTTCTATAGTTATGGACTATTCTAAAAATAATTCTGTAAATAACTGGCTCATTGTCAAAGTTAACGTATATCAAGATATAATAATCTAAGGCTTAGCCTTTAATTCTTGTCACTGGATAGACTCAGTGCATAAGAAAGTTGGCTTTCTTGTCACAGTCCATGGATGGCTGCGATACATGAAATGATAGCAGAAAGCCAAGGTCATTGTGCCTTCTGCAGTCATTTGGAGTATAAGAAATAGAGAACTTTCAGGATGATTTTACTGTTTGGCTTAAGATCATTTTTCTATTCTTGTAGTAATTGTTGGTCTTGTCTTAATTAGTGTTTATATCCTTGAAACAATCTTATGTTGGTATGGAAAACTATTTCTTTGTTTATAGTAGAAAATAATGAGAAGATGGTAAGTTTACTGAAATTTACTTTGTATTCCCTGTCATAGAAGAACTGTAATCCCTGAAATGGTATTTGGGCCCCAAATCATAAATGGGGCCAAATAGTAGTAAAACACAATCTCTAAAAGTAATAATATAGTGTGTTTCTCTGGAGATGGCTCAAATCATATTGCTAATCATCTCTTTTCCATAAAATCTGTCCTACTGTCTAGCTCAGGTCTGAGGGTGACATCATTAAGTACATTAGGAAGAAGATTATTAAATGCATATTGCTATCTGGAATTATAGAGACTATGCTATAGTCAGAAACCCAAATTGTACAGTAGAAAGTTTTTAATGGTATAACACTGTCAGGAAGTGTATAAGCTCTGCAGAGATATTGTCTTATTGATTTCTGTATATATAATGTCTGCATGTACCTATTCCATAATATGTTTGCATAAATGGCAACTTTCATGCTTTTTTTGTTTTGTTTCTAATAATTCTGATAGCATTGTAAAGAGAAAGGTGACTGGACCAAATTGGGAAATTTATACATTAACACAAAAATGGGCTGTGAAAACTTTGCAGACTTCCAGAGATTTTGTGCTTGTATTGCTGAAACACTAACAAAAGACTGTAAAGAAGAGAGACCAGGTGTTCCATTTTGTGAATTTGCTGAAACAGGTAAAACGTCACTAATTGGGTCTAAGTATTATGCATGTTAGCATGGTACAGTGTTCTTAACAGGAATGTAAAGCTCTTAATGTTTTCCACGTTAAGGATAAGTTAATATTGCAGATTTCAGATACTTCTCTTTATAAATATTTCCATCTTTTTGTTATGAAGTTAGATAATAATGATATAAGGTCAAGAATTGGTGTTTTAATATCTCATGTGTCATGTTCTTATTTTTCTTTTCATTCAGATTGGTGAAACTATTGCAAATTATACTGGAGCACCTGAATTTTTGAATCATTAAAGTTCTTACTATCTTCACTACTACAAGTCAACAAAATTAATGTTTTTGAGACTTTTTTTTACATGAGCTCTTCACAGCTATTTATATATGTTTTTAATGTTTATTTGTGTATTTTGAGAGGGAGAGAGCAAGTGTAAGCAGGAGAAGGGCAGAGTGAGAGAGAGAGAGAAAGAGAGAGAGAGAGAGAGAAAGAGAGAGAGAGAATCCCAAGCAGGCTCCCCGCCATCAATGCAGTGTCTGACTTGGGGCTCAATCCCACAAACCATGAGATCATGGCCTGAGCTGAAATCAGGAGACAGACACTCAACTGACTGAGCCACCCAAGCGCCCCTTCACTGCTATATATTTTTTATCAGGGGTCAGCAAATGTTTTCTGCAAAGGGAGAGGTACTAAATGTTTTAGGCTTTACACATTCACATTCGATATGTGTTACATGGTTTTCCTTTCAAACTCTTTAGAAATAGGGAAACATGGGGCGCCTGGGTGGCCCAGTTGATTAAGTGTCTGACTTCAGCTCGTGTCATGATCTCATAGTTCATGGGTTTGAGCCCCATATTGGACTCTGTGCTAACAGCTTGGAGCCTGGAGTATGCTTCAAATCCTGTGTCTCCCTCTTTCTCTCTGCCCCTCCCCTCTTCATGCTCTCTCTCTCTCTCTCTCCCAAAAATAAATAAAATCATTAAAAACAAATTTTTTAATAGGGAAGCCATTTTTAGCCCACAGGCCATACAAAAACCAACCACACGCCAGATTTGGCATGCAGGCTATGGTTTGCCAACACCAGGTCTTTGGTCTAGTGTCAATAATTTCATATTAATTTGCCTTTTCTGTCATTTTAAATGGCTTTTCCACTTTTTTCCATATGCCTACTTTGTGTTTCAGTTAGCAAAGATCCACAAAATAGTGAAGTAGATAAAACTTTGCTGGGAAGAATTGGAATCAGTGCTATGTACTTCTATCACAAGCTGTTGCAGTGGGCCAAGGTATGTCATTAAATTTTGTTTGGGCTTAGTACAGAGAGTGTTAATTTTAAATTTTTTAACAGAATATAGTTAACACTGCAAATTAGAAATTTGCTAATAATGTTGCAAGAGGCAAAATGAGTCCCAGACTGGTAGGTAAATTATTAGGTAGTATATTACGTAAGTGTGGAAAGAAAGGGAGTAGCAGGAGACCAGCTACCATGAAGTATCTCACTATAGGGAGCACTTGGGAAGCTCTGCTAAATACCATATTGCGAGAGTTCAAGACCTTTTTTTTTTTTAAGATGAATCCAGGAAATTCACAACAGGACTCCTTAAGAATCACCTCCTAAAATGCTCTGGAACACTCTATCCCATATATCTTGATATCTTCTTTAGGGTTTAGCTCACCATAGAAGTGGCCTGCTTATTCTGGACTATACTAAACTACCGTTCTTTAGATTTCCCTGAGGTAGCAGGTGGTTATAGATTCAATAAAGTGAAATAAAGTAGAAGACCGGAAAATCTAAAATAAAAAGGGAGTGCTGAAGGATGCATGCAGCAGTTGAGAGTGTGGTCAGTACTAAGTCAACTATTATAATGGATCTTTTGTTATTCTCATAAAAAGGTTATTTCTTAATTGAATGTGTTCAATAACACTTAAGCTCAGGGTCACTCATACATATACAAATACATGGATTTTTTAAAAAAATTTTATGTTTATTTATTTTTGAAAGACAGAGTGTGAGCAGAGGAGGGGCAGAGAGAGAGGGAGACACAAAACCCAAAGCAGGCTCCAGGCTCCAAGCTGTCAGCACAGAGCCAGACATGGGGCTCGAACTCATGAACTGAGATATCATGACCTAAGCTGACGTTGGACACTTAACCAACTGAGCCACCCTCGCACCCCAGTGGATTTTGTTTTTAATTAAAAAAAAAAAAAAAAACACAAAAACGACAGCAACAGAATCCTTGTACTTTAGTCTCCAAGCTCCTCAAGTGGTTTAGCACACACTGTGATGACTGATGTGTGATCAGTATGTGATCACATAGTGGGATGGGCAGAATGTACCTTGTCCCTGGTCTCACAGTCTGGCTTAAGGTTCATCATAGCATTAATTTCTTAGATATTTAACGCTTGAGAACTTGAGGACTACATGATAAAACCTTTTTGAAAAAGATTGAATTTACTACAATTTTAGGTTATATTTTCATTTTACTTGGTTAGTATTATTTCTTAAGAGGTTAGTGGGTTTGTACCTGAATTTCAATTTAAAATTTTCACTATCTAGGGGCACCTGGGTGGCTCAGTTGGTTGAGCGTCTGACTTCAGCTCAGGTCATGATCTCACAGTTTGTGGGTTCAAGCCCCGCGTCAGGCTCTGTGCTGACTGCCAGCTCAGAGCCTGGAGCCTGTTTCAGTCTGTGACTCCCTCTCTCTCTGACCCTCCCCTGCTCACGCTGTCTCTCTTTCTCTCTCTCCTAGAAATAAATAAATAAAACATTAAAAAAAATTTTTTTTAAATAAGTTTCACTATCTTGACATAAACTATTTGTAATAAATAAATAAATAAATAAAAAGTTTCACTATCTTATTTGGAATAAATATTTATTTAACTTAGTATGAATTTTTTAGTGGAAACCTGTTCATTTTGAATACAAAAGTAAAACTATTAAAAGTAAGCTAAAGTATATTCATTTATATAGGCAGCTTAAAAATACTTTGACATCACAATATGCATCTGACTCAAAGAGCATAGAATAGAATATAAAACAAGAGTCCATAAATTAAGAGCCAAATCTGGCCCTCACTGTCTTTTTATATCTCAAGAGGTAAGAATGTTTTTTACATTATTAAAGAGTTAGAAAATAAAAACAACTACCAAAAAGAATGTGCCACTGACTAAATGTGACCTGTAGAGCCTAAGTATTTACTATCTGGCCGTCTATAGAAAAAGTTTGCTGACTCCTGACATAAAATAATATATGTCTAATTTCTGATGTCCAGACTAGAGATAATCTTTTATGTAGACTATGTGAAATAATTAGTCTGTTGAATTAAAAAAGACAGTTTTCAGCCAGCTGTTTTATTATTTTTTCCCTCACTATCATTATTTATATAAATTTGATAAGACATTATCTCGATTTTCTCTGTCTCTCCCTCTTGACTCTTAGGGTGATCAACAGAAGAAATGTAAAAACTTATATTCAGTAGTTTTCCACATTAGGGCAAGATATCCTTTTTCCAAATGAAATCTTTAGGGGAAGCACAAGTATATAAACACTTGAAAAAAGGGGTCCACAGTGTGAGGATTAATATGAAGCAAAGCCCTGCTTCCTTCCCTTCCCTGTCTGTCTTTGTGGCTAAGCAGGAGGGGGCTGAAAGAAAGGGTCTTAGAGCAGTTTGAAAACCATCAGTCTAGAAGGATGATTCAAATTGGATCATTGGTTTCTATATAATTACTGATTTTGTGTCTCTGTGATACTCTACAGGAATAATACTCAATTAGTGTTCTTTATTTTTACTCTAGGGAAGGAAGGTCTTAGATAAACTATATGAACTGAAAATACATTTTACAAGTTTAAAAGGACTCACAGGGCCTGCGAAGTTAGCACCAAGATGTCAAATTGTGAATATTGCAGCAGAGATTTTTCTAAAAAGTGGAAGCCTTGATGGTGCTATTTGGGTGTTGAGGGGTAAGTTCTGATATACGCAAGCATCATATAATTTGTTGTTATAAATTCTTGTCTATGTAATTACCTTAAGTTGATGTTGAATTGTGAGTGGTAATTTGGCCTAATAAACGCTAGTGATCATGTGGGTAGGAAAGATGGTTGATGTGTAAAATGGAAGGAGAAAGTTAACCTCACCTTAAAGAAAAAAATTGTATGACCCTTTATTGATAAGCTAGTTCTTACTTTGGCCTAAGTATGATACTAATAAATGCTTTCCATCGATTATTTCAGGTAATTGTTATAGAAACCCTATAAGTTTGGAATTAGTATAACCCCCTTTTTTTTGTTAGTTAAAAAATGTCAGAGACATTAAACCTGTTGCCCAAAATGATACAAGTAAGAAGTGGAGGCTGTATTCAAATCCAGACAGTCCAGCTTCAGAGCCCAGGCTTCAGCTGCTGTTGGGGGAAGTAAATCCCTATTATAATCTGTATGAACTCTTAACCTTTGTACATACAGGCAAACATGACTTCAAACCAGGACAAGTAAAGCCACTTCCCTAGTAAATTAATCCTCCAGCAGAAATTACAATGAAATTAAGCCAGCAGACACACTTAAGATTGGTTTGCTGTGAGGTAAATAAAAATTTAGAGATCACACGGATAACACAGCATGCTGTCTAATGGAACCTCTGCTACTTAAACCATCAAGCAGATTTTATTTGATAAAATGGAATAACAGTGAAGAAAGTTCAAGAATCTCTGGGTTTATGGGGCGCCAGAGTGGCTCAGTGGGTTAAAGGTCCAACTTTGGCTCAGGTCATGATCTCATCTCACAGCTCATGGGTTTCAGCCCTGAGTCGGCTCTGTGCTGACAACTCAGAGTTTGGAACCTGCTTCGTATTCTGTGTCTCCCTCTCTCTCTGCCTCTCCTCTGCTTGTACTCTGTCTTTCTCCCTCTCAAAAGTAAATAAACATTGGAAACTAATTTGACAATAAACTATTTGTAAAAAAAAAAAAAAAAAAAGGAAACTAATTTGACAAACTATTTGTGTAAAAAAAAAAAAAGTAAATAAACATTAAAGAAATTAAAAAAAAAAATCCCTGAGTTTAGGTGGGAAGATAGAATATATACACAGGTAGAGCAAATAGATAATCTTTACACTAACACAAGCACATATGCATGCACACATACATATTTATATATATGAATATATAATTCATATTATATACATGGAATAATTGCATACATATGTATAATGCCTTATATTTGTTCAGGGCTGAGAGTTCATGGAATACAGAGGTTCCAAGTGGACTTCAGGATCAAAAGCTTGTTGGAAAAGATTTTCTTCAACTTAACAAATATAGCTAGTGAAGTTTGCTACGTGGGGAAGTGTAACCAAAATACAAAAATAGAAATGAACAAAATGTAAGCCAAAACTCACAAGCTATGTTGAGAAGGAGAGATGTGGCAAGAGTGGAAAGGTTAAAATGATGGATAAAAATGAGCTTGGGTCACCTGATGATAGGAAATTTCAGCCTAAAAATTCTGGAGAAACTAGTCTTTCTCAGACTAGAGCATTAAGGAACATTTGTGTGAAGGGTGTGGAATGGTCTGTGGAGATTTAAAATTTCTACAATTCAATGCTCTCTTTAAAAATTCTTTTTTTTTAATCTTTAAAAATTCTGTAAGCTATAACAGGATTTCCTTTCACAGGGATAATTTCAACTGAAAGTCATTTTCATAAGTAAAAATTTACTTCTTTAAAAGAAGGGCCCACAGGGGCGCCTGGGTGGCTTAGTCGGTTAAGCGTCCGACTTTCACTTAGGTCATGTTCTCGCGGTTCGTGGGTTCAAGCCCCGCGTCGGGCTCTGTGCTGACTGCCAGCTCAGAGCCTGGAGCCTGTTTCAGCCTGTGACTCCCTCTCTCTCTGACCCTCCCCTGCTCACGCTGTCTCTCTCTCTCTCTCCTAGAAATAAATATTTAAAAAAAAAAAAAGAAAAAAGGAAGAGCCCACAGAAGTATACTAAGTGCTCTCCAGAATTATTTTGTTGTTAAAAGTATTCTGCAGTAAACAGGCCTTTCTCAAGAAAGGAAATACAAAGGATTCTACCTCACTTGTAATACATGAGAGTAATACTCATAATAAGAAAAATAATACATTAAAATTACAAAAACCTGTCAGAGTAGCAAAGTAAGAGTTCAGTGATCTACATTTCATGAGAGTATAGAGAAACAGGCATTCACACACATTGTCTTTAGGGGCTTTTTGGCAAAATATCTGTCAAAATCTAATAGTGTGTATTTCCTTTTATGTTTCATCTCTGTTTCTAGAATTTCTCTTGCAAACACAAGTATGTACTGTAAGTTATCTAGAATCTTTTTTTTTTTTTTTTTTTTTTTTTTTTTTTTAAGAGAGAGAGAGAGAGAGAGAATCTCAAGAAGGCTCTGTGCTCAGCGCAGAGCCCAACTCTGGGACCCTGGGATCATGACCTAAGCTGAAAGCAAGTTAGATGCTCAACCAACTGAGCCAGTCAGGAACCCCTAGAATCTTTTTTTTAACCATCACAGTGCTAACAAAGAATTCCACATACCTTAAATGTTCATTAAGAGAGTACAAGTTGATTAACTGTGATAGCCATATGATGAAGTCGAATGAGGCATATCTACAGATATTCATTTGAAATGATCTCCAGGATCTGTTGCCAGATGAAAACAAGGAATATACAGAACAGTGTCCACAGTAACATAAATAAGATGCACACACACGTATTTCCTTTTATACACTTAAAATATTTTTAGAAGGAGGCACAAGAAACAGATGATGATGTTTGCTTCTGGGAAGAAGAATTTAGTGCTTGGAGGACACAGATAGGAGGAAGATTAACTTCTTCCATATGATTTTTCTATATTTTTCCTTTTGATTTTCTTTTTTATTTTTTTCCAAATTTTTATTGAAATTGTATTTAGTTAACATACAGTGTAAATATTGGTTTCAAAAGTAGAATTTAGTGATTCATCATTTACATATACCACCCAGTGCTCATCCCAACAAGTGCCCTCCTTAATGTCCTTCACCCTTTTGGCCCATTATCCATCCACCTCCCTTCATCAACCATCAGTTTGTCCTCTATTATTAAGAGTCTTTGGGGTGCCTGGGTGGCTCAGTTGGTTAAATGTCTGATTTTGGCTCAGGTCATGATCTCACAGTTTATGGGTTCAAGCCTTGCATCAGGCTCTCTGCTGTCAGCACAGAGCCTGCTTCAGATTCTCTGTCCCCCCTCCCTTTTTCAGCCCCTCCCCCTCTCACATTCTCTCCCTCCCTCCTCCCTTCCACCCCCTCTCTCTCTCTCTCCTCCCCCTACCATCTCTTCCTTCCTCCCTCTCTCTCTCTCTCTCTCTCTTAAAAATAAACACTAAAAAAATTTTTTGGGTCTCACGATTTTTTAAGTCTCTTATGGCTGAAGTCAAAGAGGGTGTTGCCTGTGTTCTCCTCTAGGATTTCGATAGTTTCCTTTCTCACATTTAGGTCTTTTCATCCATCTTGAATTTCTTTTTGTGTACAGTATAAAACAGTGGTCCAGTTTCATTCTTCTGCATGTTGCTGTCCAGTTTTCCCAGCACTATTTGCTGATGAGATTGTCTTTTTTCCATTGGATACACTCACCTGCTTTGTTGAAGATTGGTAGACCGTATGCTTGTGGGTCCACTTCTGGGTTTTCTGTTGTGTTACATTGATTTATGTGTATGTTTTTGTGTCAGTACTGTACTGTATTGATGACTATAGCTTTGTAAGATAGCTTGAAGTCCAGAATTGTGAAATTCCCTTTTTTCTGCTTTCCTTTTTTTTTTAATTTTCTTTTAATGTTTATTTTTGAGAGAGAGAGAGTGTGTGTGTGTGAGAGAGAGAGAGAGAGCAGGGGAGGGTCAGAGAGAGAGGGAGACACAGAATCTGAAACAGGCTCCAGGCTCTGAGCTGTCTACACAGAGTCTGATGCAGGGCTTGAACTCATGAACCATGAGATCATGACCTGAGCTAAAGTCAGACTCTTAACCAACTGAGCCACCTGGGCACCACTCCTTTTCTTTTTCAGGATTGCTTTGGCTATTCAAGGTTTTTTGTGGTTCCATGCCAATTTTAGGATTGTTTGTTCTAGCTCTGTGAAGATTGCTAGTAGTGTTTTGATAGGGACTGCATTAAATGTGTAGATTGCTTTGGGTAGTATCAACATTATAACAATGTTTGTTCTTTCAGTCCACAAACATGGAATGTTTTTCCATTTCTTTGTGTCCTTGTCAGTTTCTTTCATAAGTGTTCTATAGTTTTCATAGTACAGATTTTTTACCTCTTTGGTTAGGTTTATTCCAAGGTATCTATGATTTTTGGTACAATTGTAAATGGGATTGATTCCTTGATTTCTTTTTCTGCTGCTGCTTTATTGATGTGTAGAACCAGCCACAGATTTCTACACATTGATTTTATATCCTGCAACTTTGTTGAATTTATGTATTAGTTCTGGCAATTTTGGGGGGGGGAGTCTTTCAGGTTTTCTGTATAGCATATCATGTCATCTGCAAAGAGCAAAGGTTTGACTTCTTCATTGCCAATTTGGATGCCTTTCATTTCTTTTTTGTTGTCTGATTGGTAAGGCTAAGACTTCAATACTATGGTAAGTAACAGCAGTGAGAATAGATATCCCTGTCTTATTCCTGACTATATAGGAAAAGCTGTTTTTCTCCACTAAAGATGATATTGGCTAGGGGTCTTTTGTATATGGCTTTCAATGGTGTTGAGGTATGTTCCATCTACAACTACTTTGTTTAGCATTTATGTCAAGAATGGAGGCTATGTTTTGTCAAATGCCTTTTTTTTTCATCTATTGAGACGATCATGTGGTTCCTATCTTTTTTTTTTTTATTAAGGTGGTGTATCACATTGATTGATTTGCAAATATTGAACCAATCCTGCAGCCAGAAATAAATCCCACGTAATTTATGGTAAATAAGTCTTTTAATGTATT